ATCCACGGGTTCACAACAAAAACTCACTAACCTGGGGCACAAAATACACTAGTTATACATAAAATCATGCAAGTAGTGCACAAATCATATCAATTAATCCTAGTTGGCAATTACAATAACAAATACACTTGTAAGTAGCAAAAGAGAGGCATATAGAGGATTACTCTACCAATTCTAAGGCTAAGTCCTAAAAATATTAAGAATTGAGGGGTGAGTACAACCACTCAGTAACCGAGTTTAACTTGACCCTTACAGTTACATATTAATTATAAATAGATGTAATTTGGAAAATAAACTCATATATCACATAACACTAGGCCACGGTTCACAAAACTAATAACCATGTGATTGGGCTTGCCACAAAACACTGTATCATGTTATTTTGTAAAAACATAACTCAGAGTCGTAAAAATAATAACCATGTGCCCTCAACACGTGCCGGACCATAAAACTAACAACCACGTGGCCGGACTTATATGCATGATCATATGCTAACCTTATATCCTCATGTTACCTCCGACACAAAATCGATGGCTATTTCATGGCTACGTCCTTTACAGACTAACCAACCTTCCATTTATGAGGAGCTACCTGGCTAGGGTGAACTCACTCACTTATGTAATCTAATTTCCCCCAATACTAACAACCATGGGGTGTCGTACCTCTAATCTAGCATCCTCATGAACCAGTGGAGACTTTAGGTTCGAGTCCCTTATAGAACAAGTGCAACAATCTCAAAACAACCATGGAACAAGGGCTACCTCCCAATTCCAATGGTCGGTGCTAAGGCTAGTTCTCGATTCCAACAGTCACTACCAATACCACGTGGATTTCAACCAATCTACTCCTCTCCCTAGGAGAACTCCCGCCAATGATCATGCTATGCACATTTCACACATAATATGCATTTTTTAGCAATCATTTCTCAACACATGAACTCACATAACATAAATACTCCACAATTTAACACATAATTCATCACAATTCTCCATCCATAGTAATAAATCACAATTAATTTCATAAAACATTAAGGGTGGTAAAATCAAGGTTTTCTCTTTCCCAAAACCATTTCAGAATCAAGTATTTGCCAATATGCATCATCAACTTAACTCACAAATCACATTTTGCAACATAATTAACATTCAACTATAAAAATTAAGTTTCTCTTGATTACCTCAAAACTTTGATAGGTCAAAGGTTTACCCCTCACTATACTAACTTTTCAAAGCTTCAACAAGTTTGAATGGTGCCAAAACAAACCTCTTTACAATCATATCACAAGGATATCATCATTATCTAGCTCTTTAAGCTTCATCAAAATAAAACTCCACATATACTACTTTTATCAACTCATAATCACTATCCATTCATACCCAATGGGCTCCTTAAATTTCATAAATGCACATTATCATTAATAACACCTCAAAGCATCATTAATGCACACTAACCTCTCCCAACTATCTCATAAATATCAATTTTTGGGTATTAAATGCTCTTATGAACCAACCACTTCCAAAATCATCAATGTGGTGTTCCAATATATTAAACAACTCCCATTTAACTTATTTTAACCAATGAAATCAGACCCATATTCCTATGGACCGAAAATCCATCTCTCAACTCAAACCCTACTATAAATCATTACAAATGAGGGAGAGAAAGGAAAAAGAAGGCACCATAATCTTATCTTAGGTGTTTGGGAGCTTTAATCTATCAACAATGGGACCAAATGTCATGTCCTAGTAGAGCCAAAACCAAGCTCTTCATTTTCCTCCTCTTTTTCTCTTTTGTTTTCATACAGCTCATGAATTGTTTTCTGCTGTGGTGCATGACACAAAGGAGCCTGTTATGTTTAAATTGTCTCCATGCACCATGGTAGACCAACCACCGCTGTGGTGTGTGGCACAGAAAATAATGCTTTACTTTTTCATCCTCTTTCCTTGCCCGAGTGGCCCGTCATTGATCCAAACCTACTTCTAGGGCTGAAATTACATCAATTATGCCAAGTTAAGGCCCTTTAACCATACACCTCATTAATCACTAATTACCCTCATTAGGTTAATAAATCAAGGTTAAAATTTTTTGGATGTTACATAATCCCTTGGTTGTTATGATTTGAAAATAAATATGGTTAAGTAAAGGAAATCTTGGATGTAACACATATCACATGTAATGATCAATTATGCATAACATGAGGTCACAATTATATTAACCATACACCCCTAATTCACGCTAGACCACAATAATAACAACCATGTGGCCCAATCTAAATGCATGATTAAATACCAACCTTATACCCTCCTATTGTCTCTAACATGAAATCGATGGCCATTAAGTGGCTATGTCTCTCATGGACTAACTAGCCTTTCACTTGTGAGGATCTACCGGGCTAAGGTCAACTCACTCACTCGTGTAACATGATTTCCCTCAATACTAACAACCATAAGATGTCACACCCTTAATCTAGTCTCCTTATAAACTGGTGGAGGCTAGTTAGGTTCAAGTCTCTTATAAAATAAGTGGGATAGTCCCGAATCAATCATAAGACAAGGGCTACCTCTTGATTTCAATGGTCGGTGCCAAGGTAAGCTCCCGATTCCATTGATCACTGCCAATAGCACATGGATTTACCAACTACTCCTCTTCCTAGGCGAACTCCTGCCCATGATCATGCTATGTACATGTCACGTATATTATGCAAATGTGACCTAATTCACAATCCTATAACATATCAACATCAATTTCTCACTCCTAATAAACTCCACAACCATAATACAACATATAGTGCATTTTTGCAATATCACATTGTCAATTGTCATCATTAATCCACACATGTGCATCGTGCATAAAAATTCTTTTTCAAGAGTAAATCTCATGTATAATTCAACACATTGTCAAAAATTGCGTCAAGAGTTCAAAATATCAATCATGTTTTAAATCAACCATTTCAATAATTAATCAATTAATGACTAGGTTTCTTATGGTTACCTCAAACCTTTAAGAGGTTAAAAGTTTACTCCTCATAATAACCACTTCTAAGCTTCTTTCAAGCTTGAATGGTGCCAAATTAAATTACATTACAATCATTTCATCATAATATCATCATTATTCCATTTTAGGGTGATTACCAACATTAAACCCTACATATCCCTTTATCAAAATCATAAATTCACTACTGATCACACCTAATGGGTTCACTTAGTTTCATTGACTCATATTATCACTAATAAGTTATTAAACCACCATTAATGATCTACAAACACTCCCAACCATCTCATAAATGCTAAATTTTGCATGTTAATAGCTCCTCCCAACTAATCATCCATAAAATAATTAATATTGAGTTTAAATACCCTAAACAATTCCCATTATATCCATTTTAACTAACGGGTTCAGACTCATAACTACTATGGACCAAAAATAACTATTAATACTCAACCCTAACTTAACTCTTTTAAAAAATGGAAGTAGAGAGTAGAAAGGAAGCACATTATACTTACCTTAGGTGTTAGGAAGCCTTTAAATATCCTTAATGGTCTCAATATGCATGCTCTAGCAGAGCAATTTTGTGTTCTTTGATTCTAACTCTCCTTCTCTTCTGTTTTTGCATGTAGATATGAACTAATAAACTAAGATTTTTGGCCATGCACTGTGGCACACACAGTCTCCACCACAGTGCGTAGCACAAAGAGGTCTGGTTTCGTGCTGAATGTCTCTGTGTGCTATGGCGGATCATCCACACATCGCAGTATGTGGCATAGAGAAATTTTCTTTTGATTTTCTTCCACTTTTGATGTTCGAATGGTCCAGTTTCACTTCAGACCAATATCTTGGTCTGAAATCACAATTAAATACGCTAATTAAACCCTTTTGGCTACACACCTCATCAATTTACTAATTATCCTTATTAAACTTAATTAATCATGCTTAGATTTCTAGGATGTTACAAGAAGATATGAAGTTCTTTCGACCACTAAGGAGTTTTTGGTTTGAGTCTAAAGCAAACAATGATTATATGAGACTAAATGATTTATGTGTTTTTTTTCATCTTACTTCTCATTTCTAAATGTATTTTTTAAAAACAAGCTAAAAAGGACTTTGCTCTAGAGTTTTCCAAGGGAAAAAAAGTAATCTAGCTAATCCGTCCAACCTACCAGGTTAGTCAGGTTACCTCAGGTTGATCGATTCAACTCAAAAACAGTTTAAATAAAGGATCGAATTGGTGAACAGGTTGGTTCATAGGTTGAACTGGGTAATCCAGTTTTGGTTTTCCATTCCATGATCCATTGTATAACTACATAAGCTATATATATATATATTTATATGCACTGTACACATTATTTTTTACTTTAATACTTTAGAGTTTTTGTATATAAAGCTTATGTTATATAACCAAATCAAGCAAATAACCCAACATTTATTATATTTTTTATTATAATCAATTTATTATATTTGTTAATGATATATCGTGATATATCAATATAAAAAATCTTTGTAAATTTTTACATTTTTAATGATAAATTTTTTATATATTAATTATAAATCCCTTATATATTAATATGAATAGACCATATTCCTAAATTTTCAACATTTGATATCTATTTTTTGGGTATAAACTTTTTTTCGACCAGTGGACCAATTTGTCTTGATACTTTTATATCAAAATATTTAAACCATCTAAATTTAGAAGACCTAAAGTCACTTGCATATACTATCAGTTACTGTCTTCTAATTAATTTCTAATATTTTTTTAAAAATGTGAAAGTGAAATAAATGTTACATATCCAAACCAACTTAAAATAAAACAACCGGGAAAAAAGAGGAAGTTCGTCGGTCCCGCCAAAATCATGCAACAAACTGGCCGAGCCATGGAGAGGCTACAGCAGCTCCACGTCTTCCCTCTACTTTTTTCTTTTTTTTTTTTTTTTTAATCGACGACTTCGTCTTCCGCTTCCCTTTCATGGTTTGGTGAGACTGAACTGTTGAACAGCAGATGGGCTTCATCAATAGGCAAATACTGCGACGCAAGGCGTGACTATACGCACAACCATATCTACATTCAAGCCATAGCTTCAACCATATCTCCATTTCGACATTCATCAACGCGCAAATGGTTCGAGTCTCAGAAACCACTCTCATCCTCCCTTCTCGCCCTCCCTTCACCGACGACCATGTCCTCTCTCTTTCTTACCTCGACACTGATCGCAACCTCCACCTCACTTTCCGATACCTTCGTGCTTACGTCAATAGCTACCCCTCCTCCTCCTCCGCTGACCCCTTTCTTGGCATCTCTTCGGCTCTCTCCCAAGCTCTGGTTCATTACTACCCACTCGCCGGCAAACTCCGCCGGCGACAACACGAAGACCAACGCCTCGAGTTATGGTGCTCCGTTGGCCAAGGCGTCCCTTTGATTCGGGCTAATGTGGATTTCACGCTCGAGTCCGTGAATTATCTCGACGATCCCGAGTCTCCTTTCCTCGAGCAGTTGGTCCCCGATCAGGACATGGACGGAGCAATGGATCACCCTTGTGTTCTGCAAATCACGGTGTTCAAGTGCGGCGCGTTCACTCTTGGAGCTGCGATCCACCACTCCTTGTGCGACGGACTCGGCGCGACTCAGTTTTTCAGTGCAGCGGCTGAGTTTGCCCGTGGAGCCACCCATACAAGAGTTGAACCAATTTGGAACCGTGAGGGGCTGTTGGGTCCTCGGAATCCGACCCGAATTGATTCACCGGTGATCCAAGAGTTTCTGCATTTGGACAAGGAGTTCCTGCCGTATGAACAGAACATTGGCCGAGTTGTGAGGGCGTGCTTTCATGTGTGAGACGAGTGCTTGGAGAAGTTCAAAAGTTCGCTGTTTGAACAATCTGGATTGAACTTCACCACTTTTGAAGCTTTGGGTGCATACATTTGGAGATCCAAGTGAGTAATCTTCTTCCTAATGCCCTCGCCTGAAACAGGGTGAAGAGGGATTAACCTTTGAGCTTCGAATATGGATCGAATTACATAAGTTAGTGGAATAATTTGTAACTTGTTGAAAAATATCTACTTATATACAAATGAATCTTTTCTTGCTTGGATCATGTAACCGATAAATTAAATAAGTTAATTTTAACAGGTTAAGGTTAACCAGTTTAACTCATATTATTTATTAAACAAATAAATAAAATTAAAAAATTAAACATGGAGGGAGTTTAGGCACAAACTCCCCACAAGACAAGTATATATGGAAGTAAACTATGATGTAGTTGATAAATCTCATACATTTATTATGTGAATTTTTTAAGAAAAAATAATAATAAAATCTTTTAAATTATATAAATGATAATATAATATCTCAAAATGTCATAATTTTATTTAAATCTTTAAAAATTTAAGTTAATAAATTTTAAATTTAAAAAATTATTTTATTTTTATTGACAAGTAGCGATTTTTTTTAATTCTTACAATTTTTTAAGTAAAAGTTGTTATTATTTAAACAAAAATTGTGAATGGGGGTTTATTATTTTGAAAATTTATTTTTTAATAATAGAAATTACACTTGATCAATTATGATTTTTTATTCAACTCTTGTGATTCACAAAACAAAAATTGTTATTCCTTAAATAAAAGTTGTAACTTTAACTTCTTCTTTTTTTTTTTTAATGCTCACTCTCATTTCTGTGGGCAAGCGCACTCCTACACAGATTGGATTTAGGAATCTCTCTGAGGAGAATGAGAGTCACATGAAAATTTTGGCCCCAAAGACTAATTAATGTTGTTTGTGAAACAGGGTGAAGGCGTCAGGGATTGAAGCTGATGAAAAGATAAAATTCGCATACTCGATCAACATAAGGAAACTGGTGAAGCCGCCTCTTCCAGGAGGCTACTGGGGCAATGGGTGTGTTCCAATGTACGTTAAGATGAGGGCCAGAGATGTGATAGAGAAACCCATGTGGGAAACAGCAGAGCAGATAAAGAAGAGCAAAAGCAATGTGACTAACGAGTACGTGAGGTCCTTCATTGATTTCCAAGAGAAGCATTATGGTGAAGGTGTGACAGCAGGGAAAGGAGTGAGTGGGTTCACAGATTGGAGACATTTGGGACATTCGAATGTGGATTTTGGGTGGGGAGGTCCAGTGACTGTGATACCACTTGCGAGGAATCTACTTGGAAGCGTGGAGCCATGCTTCTTGTTGCCATATTCAACAGCAAGCACAGGGAAGAAGGATGGGTTCAAGGTTTTGGTCACTTTGCCTGAAGCTGCTTTGCCTGCTTTCAAGGAGGACATGCGATTGTTTTCAAATAGCCACCAAGTTGGACAATCATCATCAATCTAATGGTAAAATTCAGGGAAATGAGAGAATTTTTTTTTTTTTTTAAGGGCTTAATGTTTTCTTTTTCTTTTCGTTTAATAGGAGTCACCTCAATTTATCTGATAATGAGATTGTTATGTAACACTGTAGGTGCGGTGGGTCACAAAAATGTGTGTTGTTGGGGGATTTGGGGGGGTGGGGGAGGGTTATGCGTGTATTTTATTAATTTTTTTTGGGGCCAATATACATGTAAATTTGCATGTGAAGAGTTTTGAAAAAATGAAGATTAAAAATAAATGAAGTAATGCAATTATAGTCACTGCCTTTAATGTTGACAAAAACTGCCAAATATATTCCTGAATAGAAAAAATGAGAATGAGTTTTTATGTATTAATAAGAAGTCCTTTACGTTGGTGGAAAAAAAAAAGCAGTCCTTTTTTTAATAAGCAAGTCCTAAATAAAGAAAATTAATATTTTTTGAATCTATTTATGAGTCAATTTTTTATGTTTTTCAATATTAAACTTTTGTATTTATAAGTTGAGGGTTTAGTAAATAATTAACTTTTTTTTCTCTTGGACCTATATGTAATTTTTTTTAATAATTAAGCATGTGAAGCTGTGAATATTGTAACTGTAAGTCTCGTTATAATTTTTATATTTTACATTAATTGATATATTGAAGTTAATATTGACGTTGATTATATGGTTTTGAACTGATTGGAAGAAATTCATGGCGCATGTTTACTTTTTCAATCAAGCACAATTCTTCGTCTCCCGAATCGAGGTTACCACCAGCTTGGACAATGTTCTACGTTACTTAACACCACCCAAAGGCCCAAGCAGTTTCACTTTTTGCTTAATATCGTAACACTGTATTACAGGACTATATATGCACGTATGAATGTAGGTTTGTTCTGTCAGCAGCCTTGGTTCGAGACAATTATTGATAACTGGCATGGGCTCATCTTGAAGTTGTTACCTATCCACAACATTGAATTGATGAAAGCCATAAAATGAGATTAATCTATTTTAGATTGTGGCAGTGGCAACTTAGGTTCGCTTCTCTGCCCCCGCCGGGGGGACCTCTTGGGACTTTACAATGTAATTTCATGAAAATGCTTAATTTATTAAAGTCTCTAATAAAAACTACTCAATATATAATATAATTAATATTTTTCCATTTCAAATTACAAAACATTCTTAGACAACATTTCACATATCAATAAATTTCATTTAAAATATTGAACAACTTTTTTTTTCCAAAACAAAATTACAAACTTTCAAAAACATCATTTATTTAATTTAATAAAAAGAGAGGGAGACAAAAACTAAATAGAGAAAGAAATGATAATATTGAAATAAGTCTATAATCAATATTCAATAGAATTTTGTAAGTTGCTCTCTACTGACATTAGTACAAAAATAACTTTTTACAATAGTTAAAGATGTGATGTTCCGAGGGTGTAGAAAGTCTATTTTTTTACATTGGTTATAAATTCGATGTAAAAACTAAAATTTTTACATTGGTTATAAAGCCGATATTGAAAATCATATACAAGAAAATAAAAAAAATTTACTTTAACTTTTAACACCGGTTAGACTTCCAATCGATGTTAAAAATGGACTTTTAACACCAGTTGGACTATCAACTGGTGTTAAAAGTCCAATCAGTGTTAAAACTGGACTTTTAACATCGGTTATTGCCATAACTGATATAAAAAATATTATATTCTACAACGGTTATGGTAATAACCGATATAAAAAGTATTTAATTTTTTTATACTGTATTCATTTTATTGATTTTATCCATTCCTATGCATAAAAATTGCCAAATCTAACAGCTCAATTCATTTATAATTGTTTATCAAATATTTATAAACTATACAAAACTATTTAACTATTAAAAAAACTAATAATTGTCAAAATTGTCATTCCTGTGCATAAAAATTACCAAATCAGAGAGCTCAATTCATTTACGATTGTTTATCAAGTATTTATTAACTATACAAAAATATTTAACTATTAAAAAAACTAACAATTGTCTAAATTGTGTCAACTATCAAAATTAAAACTTGTCTAAAACTAACAAAAAACCTCACAAGTTCTCCACAAAATAGGTTGCTCAACATATGCGGATATCTTCAATTTTAGCTTTAGGAAATGCATCTGAATTGTCAGATATCTAAAATTTGATTCACAAAATAGGCATATTAATCAATCTCAAATAACATAATAAAATAAAACTTTTAAAAATATATTTACCTTTTTTGTAAATTCAATCATGCCTAATGTGATGATATTGAGCATGTGTCTCATGACATATAGACCGCACAAGTTTGTCTTCATCGGTTGTCTATGACTCTGTATAAGAAGAAATCATAAGAAATTAGTAAGAAATCTTAATAATTGAACATATTAATAAAGTATAGCATCACTTTTGGCTCAATCCATATGGGATCCTTGAGCTCGTGTCCATGCTTTTGTAAGACTACATTTTGATATGTTCTCATTGCCTTATGATCAAGATCACCAAGTTAGAAAATAATATATTCAAAAAAAATTAAATTAAATAGTTTAGTAAAAGTATTCTTACAAGTCTATCATCTTCTTCATTTCTTTTCCAAGTTTGTAATAGAGGGAGCATAAAAAGACGACAGTGTTACTCTTCATTGAAAGAACAAATAACTATCAATGGTCCCTTCTAAATATGATACAAGTTAAAGTAAATCCATATTAAAAAAACTATTAATTATAAATTGATCCTTACGAGTGCACATATGGAGCTATAAAAGCGTCCTTTTTGATTTCACATATTCTCTGTTGGAGGTACTCAGCCCTTATCTCTAGAGTATTACCTTTCTCTGTCATGTGATAAGGGCAAAGGAATCTAAACTTGTCACCTTTACCTGATGTAATGTACAAATGAAGGTACCTACAACAATACAATTATATTAGTTTACTAAACTTGATGATTAAGTTTACTTACAATAATATAATTACATTAAAGAAAAATATACTTACATCATAAATAGTTCAATGTGTGATGAGATAAGCTAATTATTCAATAGAAGTCGGACCAAATCTTCCTATTCAATTATCACTATCATGTCTTTTTTACTCACAACCTCCGAATCCATTTCTAAACTCTTGAATTCAAATGATGAATCATACACCATTAAGATCATTCGCTAATGCGGAGTCAATGAGGGTTGTGGAAGTTTCAGGAGATTCAGCGAGGAAAGCTTCTACATAATAAAAAGGCAAGAAATAACTAATAAAAAACATATATTAAGAAGCTACTACATAATAAAAATTCATGAAATTTCATACCACAGCTTGAACCAAATTCACAAGTCTCTTGGGCCATATGATAAAATTGCCAACAGCTTCAACCACAGTCTTCACCTCATCAAGAGAGAATGAAACCAAAGCATCTGGCACTTTTAGATTTGCAACCACCACTCTCACTTGATCATCTTGAATTTGCTTATGCTGGATGGTTGACGCCAAGCTGTAGATGCTACCAAGAGCAACCAAGCATTTATTAGGATCTTCCAGAAATATCTCACACGGTTCACCAATATTGTCACCAGAAGGACTCTCTGACACATGCTCAAGAACATTACTCCCTTTTGTATTATGAAACGTAGGAGACATATGAACTGGTTCAACAGTTGTCTCCTATCGTGAGCTCATCATGCTCATTATCTCCTCCTTCATTTGCTCTTTCATTTGTAAAAGCCAAGCTATAAATGAAGCTTCAAACTCATCCTCAGTCTGTTGGCTCACAGTGGATATCAATGTATTAAGCTCTTCTCTAGTCACTACACCTTCTGAATTGGGATGTACAGGTACTTTAAAGTAGTCCTTAAAGCCCACACCATATCTAACACCCCTCATACGACCCAGATGCTTTGGTTTTCCTATAGCAACCAGTAAGATATCATTTTTGCCTTCTGGAATGAAGCTTCCTTGTGCTTGTTGCTCCTTAAGAGCATCCTGTAATATAAAAATAACAATATTAATTAATAATATATACAATTGTATAGAAATTTAAGGGAACAAGGAATAACAATTTTACCTACAATTCTTTTAGCAATCTCTCACGCTGTCTCAGTTGTATAGCCTCCTTTCTTGTACTGATGTCCATATCTCCATTTCTCCTCCCGATAGATAAGTGATAGTGGAAAAAGGAGTATGGAAGGATTAGACTTAGCTTCTTCTTCTCTCCTCTTCTATTTCTTTACCATCAATATATCATCAGCTCTAACATAACTCCCACAAGAGATGGTGTAGGGGCATTGATTCTACTGAGTAATTTCTCACCCTTTAGCTCATTTTTCCTGTTAATAAATTAAATTTTAGATTTTATAGTTGAAGTAAGTCTAAATAAAACTTAAATCAATTAAAAATCAACTAACCAAAGCTTTTTCAAAAGTCCAAATCCTGACAAATTCTTTCCAAGTATCTTCATCAAGGAACTGGTATGTATCAAGAGGATTGAGACGAGCCTGATCCTCTAACACCTTGACAAAGATATATCTTCTAGCAAAATCAGTCTTAAAATGTCTCCAACGTGTTCCACAGTAAGAAATCAACTTGTGTCGACAATCTTGATTAGATAGAACATCATATGTGAGCTACAATGAAGACATAAGATAATAATTAATAATTGCCCAATAATATATAACCATAAAAAATTTTAAGTTTTAATTATTTACCTAAATACTTTCCCAAATTTGTTCCTTCACATGTTCTTTCCAAGTATTTTCATCAAGGAACTGGTATGTATCAAGAGGATTGGGACGAGCCTGATCCTCTAGCACCTCAATAAAGATATATCTTCTAGCAAGATCAATCTTAAAATGTCTCCAACGTGTTCCACAGTAAGAAATCAACTTGTGTCGACAATCTTGATTAGATGGAACATCGTATATGAGCTACAATGAAGACATAAGATAATAATCAATAATTGCCCAATAATATATAACCATAAAAAATTTTAATTTTTAATTATTTACCTAAATACTTTCCCAAATCTGTTCCTTCACACGTTCTGGCACATCAAGCCAGTCCTCAAACACAATAGGAGGCTTGGTACGTAATAGGAGGCTAAGAAAAACTAATAAACTTGGCTTTATGTGGCCCTATTGGATTCCATCTCTAGTCAAATTGAATTGGTAACCTATGCCTAGCAC